GCCAGCAGACAACAGTTCCTGAGACCAAGTGCCCCGCGCTACATTTAGGAGCAAGAGCTTGACCACAGAAAGAGTGAGGCAAAGTCATCTATTGAGGATTCAGGTCTCAGAGAGGGTCAGGATCTGCCTCATGTCACACAGCAAGTCTGGCAAAACCAGAAGCAAGAAGCTCAGCCCAGAAGACATTCAGCCCAACGGGAAGTCCAGCCCTAGGAGCCTGGGGATCAAGCCAGTGTCCTCTTTGCCTCCCTCATTCTCACCCCCTTTCTACACTCAGGATTTCAGGCCCCTACACCCTGGAAGACACAAAAGCCCCTTCCAGTCTGGGCAGCTCTGATCCAGCTGTAGCCTGCAGCCTTCCTGCCCCATTCACAAAATGAGAAACTAAGGCACAGGCTCGGGAATTAAAAGGCCCTGGGTCTCAGCCCAAGGTAGTGAGTTTCAAGGCACTTCCTCTGACAAATCAACAGCACAGCAGAGGTGCTGGTAGAACCAACTGGAAGGTGCCTGAGGAGGAAGAAGGATCAAGGAAATGGGCAGCTGGCAGTTAGTCATTAGGGTGCCAGCATTCCAGGCCAGCTGGTGGTTCACTTGGGTGCTGACCTGCCAGAAAGGCACTCTGGAATGCGGTCCTGGGACACTCCACCCTGCAGACTTTAGGTAGTGCTGGTGTAGCAGTGACTAGGACAGGGCCACCCACAGGGACAAGGCTACCTGAGGAGGTGGGGCAGAGGTGGCATTGACTATCCTTATCCATAAAGATAGCCACAGAGCTTGGGGCTTGGCTTGTCCTCTACCCACCCAAGTGACCCGTAAAAGGCCCTGGGCCTCCATGTCCCCATCTGTCAGCTCCGGACAGACTCCATCAGGTGGACAAAAAAGGAGCCAAGAGCCCTAGCCTGGCAGCCCCCTCCGGCACCCAGCTCAGGTGTTTGGAGAAGCCCCTAGTCCCTGCCAGGCCTGGGTCCCCGTGCTCAGCTATCCTTCTGGGTTTGTGTTAGTGAGCAGTTGCCGCGGATACCAGTCTCAGCTTCTTTGGCAGAAAAGGACTCTCCCAAGGCAGGGTTCTGCCTCTCCTCATCAGCCCCACCTTGCTCAATTTCAAGGGCCCCGTCTGCCACGGGCTGGATCAAAGGGCAAGAACATAGGTATTAGGAAAGGCCAGGTATCACAGAGAAGCTGGGGAAGGATCTCAGCTCTCAAATAGTCGTTCTCCAACCATGAACAAGACTGGCGCCAGCTCCTTCTTACTGAGCCTGGTTCCAGGAGCAGAGGACTGCCACCTACACCCTCAGCTCTGCCTTCATTCTACAGATGGGGCAGAGGCAGCTCCGGCACCAAGAAACAGAGCTGGGAAGAGGGGACCCAGGACTCTCACCTGAGGGGCTCCCTCCTTCTCCTGACCTGGCAGCCACGAGTGGTCTCAAAATGGAGAGTGAGTGGCAGCCAGGCTGGTAGGGCCCATGGGAGCAGGAACCATTGCCCTAGGGGAGCTCAAACTGCCTCTGTTAAGTTGAGCTAAAATTCATCTGCCCAGAGGAGTCTTACCCTGGCCAGCAGTCTCTGGGCTTCCAGGCCAGAAGCAGGGGGCCGTGTCCCTGCCTCTACCAAAAGAACATTGCACTGGGGGGTTCTGGTCCTGCTCTGCCCTGCCGTGTGACCTTGGATAAGTGCCTTGCATTCCCCGGGTGTCAGCCCCCCCATCCACACAAGGAGGCAGAGGGAAGGGTTTAGAGGCGGCTGGTTTCTGGGCTACCTCAATTTCATCCAATTAAAGCCACGCTCAGTAAGGAAAGAAGACCAGGAGGCTGGCCCTCCTCACCTGCTTCCGAGGCCGGCGGCCCTCAGGGGGTTCTCATGGCAGCAGGAGAGGCCATAATTAGCCCGATCATCGGGTGGCTCTGGGAACGCTAGGGCAGAGGCAGAGCCCACTGGAGTTCCCAGGATGGAGACCAGCCCTGATGGAGAAGGGAGGGGCTCGCAAAGGTGCCCTGAATGAGACCGTCCAAAACAGAGAAAAATGGGAAGGGCATCATGGCTGGGGCACAGCTGGAACAGAGGCATGGAAGAGGAGGCAGCTGACATTTGTGAAGCTCTCCTAGGAGTCTGGCCTTGTCCCAGGTGCTTAAGAGACATTCCCATTTATTCCGCACAACCCAGGAGGTGGAAAGGAGGAAATGATCACCCTGAAGTCTCAGGCGACATCAGCAAGGTCGCACAGCTGGTAGTGGAAAAGCCTGGACTCTAACTCTGGCATCAAAGCTCTAGACCTGCGTTATCCACTGCAGTGGCCCCAGCTGCAGCGGCTGATGAGCACCTGAAATGCAGCTCATCTAAACTGACATGTGTTATAAATATCAAACACACACCGGATTTCAAAACTTAGTATGAAAAGGGAGACAAAATATTTAATTCATAGCTTTTATATTGATTATATTGAACTTTGTTGGGTATATTGTGTTGAATAAAATATATTCATTCATTTCATTATTTATTTTTACTTTTTTAAATGTAGCTACTAGAAATATTTAAATTATATATGGGGCTTGCATTATACTGTTTTTGGACAGAGCCAATCCATACCATAAAACAGAAATGCACAGGACAGATGTAAAGGAAGAGGGTGGGAATTCCCCTCATTCTTTGAGGGGGGGAGTCAGGGCCAGATTGTGAGGTTCTCAAAGGCAAGGTGGGTGGGAACATCAAAGGTGACTAAACAGTGGAATGTCAGCATCACCTGCTTTCTCTTAGCTGGGGCGGCCAGCAACAGGTGGACCTAGGCCTGGAATGACCATTCCCCTGCCTGACCTATCAAGCCATAGCAGTTACCATAGAGACAGTAAATCTTCCTAAAAACTGAAGTTGGGGGCAGGGGGGTGTGAGGGAATCTACCATAAAGAGAGAGAGAGAGAGGGAACCAGGCTTATCCGGAGAGGAAATCTGTGTATGTTGTATGTTGGGGGCGGGGCAGTGCATGAGCTCCAATCCAGCCCTGGTCAGGACAGGGAGGGATACACAACCCTAGTGGGTATTTGCACAGGGCTTTCCGGGCCTTCCTCCCTACTGCCCCACACCCCTCTTTGCCACTGCTCCCCATCCCCCACTTACCAATTCACCAGAAATTTCCCATCTTCTTCCCCCATTCTGACATTCTGACTCTGGGACACGCGTCAGATAAGCACCAGATCTCCCTGATCCCACCCTCTCCTCCTCAGTCCCTGGCAGAGTCAGCTTCCCTGAGAAGATCAGAGCGGGTGGTCTGGGGCCAGAAAAAACAAGTTGGAAAGAGCTACAGTGCCAGAAGCAGCACCATTCATTGCTGAGAGAGGGTGGGAAACCTCTTCCCAAGCAAGGCTTACTGGTAAATCTAACACCGGCCTTGTTGTGCACTCTCCTGGCCATCTTGGACAAGGGTTGTACAGGAACCCCGGTTTCCCTATCTGTATACGGAAGTCTATTTTGTACTGACTACAGGTCCCTGATGTTCTCTGACTTCTCCCTGCCTTAGGGTGCTACCTAAGCTCCCCAGTCCCAGGCAGGCACATGCAAGACAGAGGCTGGTGCACTTGGGTTGTACTGGGTATCCTGCTCACCAGACCGAAGTAAGAGCCTCTTGGGGAGATCCCACCCCAGAGACTGGTGCCACTGGTACACAATTCCAAGTCCCCATAACAGAGGGATGGATAAGAGAGCCAAAGGTTTTGAGAGAGTCTTCCCTTCACAAAACCCCAATCAACAGAGGAGACTGAGGCCGGGAGAAGGGGAACCAGATGGCATCTGGTTTATGCCAGGGCTCTCCTCTTCGATCACCACAAAGTTCTCTATAGAGTCTGTCCAAAATTTATCTTTTTTTTTTTTTTTTGGTTCCGGATTTTACTAAGCTGTGGTTAGGCAGGTTCTGGGACAACATGCCAGGTACACAGTCACTGCTCTCCTCCTGCAGGGAGCCCCTCACCTATGCCAGCCTGGCCAGAGTCCTTTTCTCTCAAGGCTGCACCATTCCCATGTAGGAACAGCTCAGTCTAGGTAAAGTCCCTACTGACAGACCCCTAAGAAATGGGGGAGGGAAGCCAGCAGACTAGACTTCCAGGACCCAGTCCATCCCCAAAAGGGTCAGGGATCAACCACCTCACAAACGGGGAAACAGACCTAAACACAAGCTGAAACTAGCCCAAGGTCACACACCAAGCACAGGAGGGGCAAATCTGGGACTAGAACCCAGTTGTTCTATGGACCCCCAAACCATCCCCAAAGCTGGCTCCCAGAGATGCTCACAGAGGTTGAGACAACCTCTCTCTAGCTGGTGGCCTGCGCCCTACCCCAGGCCCCAGGCGCCATAGAGCAGGAAGAGGCATCTTCAGGCCTCAAGCCAGGACCAGCTGCAAACCGCATCCTGGGTCCCCAGGCGCCACGGACCCGCCCCGCCCCTCCCTTCGCTCCCCGCAGCCGGGAGCCTTTGTCAGCCACGCGCTCACACGCTCACACACACATCCGCGCCGTCCGCGCGCACACACTCGGTCTCCTCTGGCGCACACCAGCAAGGGGCGCGCGCACTCGCCGCACGCACGCAGGGGAGTGGAGGCGGCGGAGGAAGGAAGGAACTGACAGGCTGCGGACCGACAGACCGCCTGGACTGGGGGGAGGGGAGAAGAGGCCCGGGAACCTGAGGCGGGGGCGGAAGGGGGCGCAGAGGCGAGAACGCAGAGAGACGCAGAGGAGACTCTCGAAAAAGAGGACAACGGATGGGACCTCCAGGGCTGGCGAGGACGCGCAGGCTACTCCAGGGGTGGGGACTCCCCCAATCCCTGGCCCCAGGTGGGGGGCTGTCCCTAGATTGGACTCGTGGATCACGGGACATCACTTGCCCAGTTGTGCCTGAGTGGAGGGCCTTTAGGGGCCCCACATAAGGCTTGGAGATAGAGGGTCTGGGACCAAAGGCTCCCCGGGGTACCTCGAGACGGGGGGTCCTGGTTCTCGGGCTGGGTGGGGCACTAGCTCACCTGCTACGGTGTACCTGTCCAGGTAGTTGAGCACGTTGCCCAAGCTAAGGATGGCGGCGGCTGCCCCTCGCCCGCGGCCCAAGCTGGCGGGTTTGGGCTGCTGCGCGCCGGAGCCCTTGGCAGCGGCTGCGCAGTTGGGGGTGCTCGGGGTGCTGGGAGGTCCGGACGGGGCTCGCCTCACGCTGCCCGACAGCGTCTGAACCTCATCGTCGGCGGCTGCGACTCCAGCGGCACCCGCTGCCCGCGCCCCGCAGCAACCACCACCGCCAGCCCCTAGCTGCGCCCCCCGGCGCCGGCGCCGCCGCTCCGCGTCCGCCTCCTCCTCCTCCGCGCCGCCCGCCGCCGCCGAGGCGCATTCCAGGCACATCATGCCGGCCGGGATCGGGGCGGCGGGGGGCGCGGGGGGCGCGCGGCCCAGCTTGGGCCCACTCAGTGCGTGTGCGCGCCGCGGAAGCACCGCAGCACCATCCCGGCCGGACCCCGTCGACTCCTGCGCTCCGGCCCGGCTGTGGCGCGGCCAAGGTTCAGCCGCTGTACCGTCGCAGCCTCGGCAGCTCTGACAGCTGAGGTCCAGCCCCGCCCACAGGTCACGCCCAATCAGCTCCCAGCTTCGGCAGAGCCCCGCCCCGCACGTGCTGCCCCGGGGGGCGGGGGGGTGCCGCAGAGTCCCTCCCGCCCGACGGGGGCGCAGTCACGCCGGAGCCGCGCGGCAACCCAGGCGGGCAAGAACCCGGAGGGTGTTTGTGGGAGCTGTGGAGCTAGCAATAGAGTGCGGGGAGCAGGACTCCTCAGCACCCGTTCAATGCCCTCCCTCCCCACTCCCTACCACAGGAGTGGGCTCTTGGCAGAGACTCTGGGAGACAGCTGAAGACTAGAGCTCAAGGCATATGGACATCCTGGAGAGAGGGTCTCGGTTAAGTCGGGGACGCCTGTAGGAGAGCCTGTGGCCGCTCCAGCAGCTACTCACCCGCCTTGATTTAATCAGTTTAGGGAGAGCTGTGTTAAGAACCAAGAAGCATGACCAGTGGGTGTTTGGCTCAGGACCCAGGCCTCCACGAGGCACAGAAGGCTATGTTGGCCACCTCCCCAGGAAAACCCAGACCCAGCCCCCAACCTCCCCCTCCCCCATTTCTGTTTGCGCACCAAGACCCTACCCCTGTCTCACAGAGAGGCAGCCACTGGCAGGGAGAGCCAGAGCTCCAATGGGGCCCAGCAGAAACAGGGCATTAAGAAGGGGCCTCGTCTCCTGAGGGTGTGGCATCCCCAAGCACCAGGCTTCCAGCTGGGCACTAGGTAAGGAGAATTCTCTCTCTGGGTCTCAGTTTCTCTCTCTGAGGGTAGATAGGAAGATAAGCTGCAGATGGTCTGGAAGTCTATAAGTGGTCAGTGGAAGGGGGAGTCCTGTCTCCCATGGAGAGTGTGGTTGGGTAGCTTCTGTGTTCAGGGTCACAATCACCACTCCCACCCATCTCATAGGTGCTATGGTTATGTGACCACCCCCACCCCCATTCACCTGTTTGAGGCTTTGAAATTAAAATCCTGTAGAAACAAAGTGCTGAAGACAGAATGGTAAAACTAGACAGAGCCTGGGAAACCAGAATTGTCCCCTGTGTTTCACAGACACTGAAATGACTCCATCCTGGACATGTAGGTTAGTCAGTGGCAGGGTTGGTGCTGACCCAGGACTCATACAAACCCCCTGGGCTGGGAGCTCAGTTCCCACTGCAGGCTGCTCCAGACCTGACCATCCATGGGCAGGTGCATCTTGTGAGGGTGTCAGCCACACTGAGTCATGACATAGCGAATGGGTGACACAGCACAAGGCACCCACACACACACACCACTGTCTCATGTGAGCAGAGTTAATTCCCAAGCTGATGTTTCTTGGCGCCTTCGAGGTGTATCTTAAATTCTGCAAAGTGACTAAAAATATGCTTCGGCAGGTTGGGTATGAATGACTGTGACGGAAGGGTTAGGAAAACATTTCATTCTGAAAGTTGCCTTGCTGCCTCTTTCCAGGTTGCTGAGCTAGGCCTGCAAAACCAGATAGGGGAAGTCCCTGTAGGTGGCCTGGGATGACAGGTGATTGACAGGCCTAGGAGTTCCATGGGGCCGGTTCTAGGCCCCAGCAATGACCCTCATGTGTGATGCTGCCAGCTAGAGCACAGTGTCTGGCTGTGGGACTGTCCAGCTGAGAAGGAGGCACAACCATGGCTCTAAACTCAGCCCCAAGGTCCCCTTTCCACTCCCCCAAATTTCTCAACCTTTCAGCCACAGCCCTGCCCAGGGAGACAGTTTTAGCCCTTGACCAGAAAGGGGAGCATTCCCTTTCCATGGCACTCCCTTTCCCCTACTGAGTAGGCCCCAGAGCATGGGAAGATGGCAGTTTTGAGCCTTTGAAATTTGGGGGACCTCTGAGCTGCCACCAAGCAAGCCAACCATTCCCACTGTGTGGGTTTTTCTGGGATTTTATCTCAAAGGCACTCTCTAGAGTAGGTCTTGGAGTGGGATAAGGGACCACCCAGGGCAGGGCAGCAGGGAGAATAAGCTCCTTCTGGCTCTGTGGCCCTGAGCAAGTCACAGCAGTGGCCTTCTGAGAGCCTCTGGCAATATCATGGCATCATTAGCAATAGTACTTCTAGGGTTCTTATCTCCATCTCACCAGCAACAAAACCGAGGCCCAGAGAAGAGAAGTAGTATGCCCACGGTCACATACCTAGTAAACAGTAGGGCTTGAACTAAGCCCAGGTATGTCTACCCCCAATCTAGTGTTTCCTCTACTGCCCCACAAGGCTGCTCTTAGCTTCTCCAGTACGCAGTTTCTTCAGTGGCATAATGGGAGGCTGAAATCAATGATGGCTGAAGGACTTTCTGATATTCATTCATCAGGTCTAGACCACAACTTCAAAACAAACAGGGCACAGGACATTAGTGGCCAGTATTCCAAGGGCAAGTACATTTGAGAAATGGTACGTAAGCACAGAGAAACAGGTTTCCTTATTGGAGGACTTTTCAGAGCCTTTAATATGAGAGTATACAAGACTCTTACACTGTGAGTCTCCCAGGAGGGAGGTATAGGTTGCCATGTCCACGTGTGTACTAAACCAAAGAACGTCTTGTAAGATGACTAGAGCTTTGCGGAACACACTCTAAGAAACACCAGCTCCCCCAAGGCTGATAACTGGGAGCTCAGTCCACCTCTCCTTTACCCATCCGGTTATACAGGAGTATCTCCAGGGCTTGGGCCTCAGCCTCTTCCCTTCTCACTTGGCAGCCTGTCATCCATGTGTGGGCTTTCGGGAGTCATCCCATGCCCATAACACCCCAATCTTCATCTCTAGGTGTGGCCTCATCTCCAAGTACTAGCTCCATATGCAGTCTCCTGCACATTCCCCCATAGACATTCCACAGCACCTTGAACTCAGCACATACAAAACTGAACTCACCACCTTTCCTTAACCCTCTCCCACCCTGGTATCATTTATCTCTTGACAAATAGCACCATCATCGACATTGTCACCGAGCAGGAAACCTGGGAGCTATTTGGGACTCCTTCTTCTCTCTCAACTATCACATGAAGGTGCTGTCCATGTTTTCTCTTTTATATTTCCCAATGTCCCCATTGCTCACTGACTTAGCTCAAACCTCTCTTATCTCACCTGGACCCTTTTAAAGTTCAACACCACCTGCCCCAACATCCCCTTCCAGTCTTTTCTCCACATTTTTTTGCCATCAATTTTCTAAATCACACATATGACCCCATCTCTACCTTGCACAAAAGCTTTCTATGGCTCCTTACTGCGTATAGGATCAAAAGTATCTAAGTTCCTTAACATGATCTCCAAGACCCTTCATAACCCTTCATGACTCATGCCAATCTTCAGCCTCAGATCCTACTCCCCATCTCTCAAGATTACGTTCCACCACGCTGAAAGTGGAGCTCCTTGAACTCACAGTTATTATACTTCCTGGAGCCTAGAGGATGGCAGGAAATGGGGGCACCTGTGTATAGTCCCTGCTTTCCCCTCAACACAAAAGCCTTTGTCACACTAATGCAATAATGATTCAGTACCACGGAGAGCGTCATGTGGGCAACCCACCTCCCTAGGCCCTTTAGTCATGGTCTGCCTATGCTGTCTACCCAGTTCACGCCTCCCACTTGTCCTTCAGAAACTCAGCACAAACATGACTTCCTCCAGGAAGCCCTCCCTGACCAGCCTAAACAATTGTCATTTCTGCCTCTGGGCTACTTGACTAACTTATGTATCCCTTCATTCATCACACCAAACACATTGGACTGATCAGGTTTGTACGTGAGTCTAACACACACACACACACACACACACACACACACACACACCAAACTGTGAGCCTCGAGGGACCATACCCTGTCTGATTTATCTCTGCAATCCAGTACAGAGGAGGTGTTCAGAGAATGTTTGTTGATTGAATGAGTAAATGACATTTAGCAGGTGCTCAGGAAGTGTGTGTTGATTTGTATTACGTGCCTGTTGCTGAATGACTCAGAAACCAACCAGGTTCCTCTTCTGGTCCCTCTGGAAAAGGCATTTCCTCCCTGATTGACTCCGCTCTCCATTGGCTTCCATGTGCCAACAGGTCACCACCCATGAGTGGGGAGAAGGCACCTCCTCTCTGCTCCTGCTGTTGCCAAGCTGGGGACCTGCTACAACCCCTCTATCCTACAGCCCCAGCCTGCCTCACAGGTTTTGTTCAGAATGCCTCATCTCTGCCTCTCTCATCTGCTCAGAATAGATGGCTCTGAATCCCCACTAACACAGAAGTTCCTGTTCCATCATTTGAATATTTTTTTTTAAGATTTTTATTGGGGAATTGGGGGAAGGGAACAGACAAGTTGCTGTCCTTTTGTTCTTCAGTCTAGTTGTGGAGGACGTTGCTTCACTGGCCCAAGTTTGCACCATCATTGCGCTCTTCCCGGGCGAGGCAGATCAGTCGCCAGCTTCTGGACGGCTACTCACTGCGGCTGCTGGCCGCTCACGCTGGCTGCTGGCTACACACGGTAGCCCATGGCCACTCACTGCCACAGGGGCTGCAGCCTACGCCGTCGCCGGCAACTCACAGCAGCCCAGCTCCAGGTTGAGCTGTTGTTTAGCATCTTAGCGGTAGAGGGCAGTGTCACTGGTCCTCATATGTGGGATCCGAACCGGGGCCCTCTGGCATCCCAAGCCAGCTTTTAACCAACGCGCCACTCGGCCAGCCCCATTTGAATATTTTTAACACTTTCTAAATTATAGAAGCTTTAGCTTCCTTTGATCATGGAGCCTCAGACCATCAGAAATGAAGACTCCTTTGAAGGACACTGAGTCCAGCCTTTTCCCTTTCCCATGGAGAGACCCCATGTGAGAGGGTCAGTGGCCTGCCCAAGATCATTGTAATGAACACCATCTTTGTTTTTGTCTTTTTTATCCTTCATTGTTGTTTTGTTTTGATGCTCTGAGTCCATCCTACTTCCTAACAACACCCTGGTTTCCTGGTCTTAATGGGGCTATAAATCAGACATGGGCATAGGATCCAACCAAACATGCTCGTCCAGTGTT